TTCTTTTTATGCCAAGTACAATATATTAAATAGAATTAGTATTTATAGGATAAAGTTGATTTTTATGCCTGGAAGGAGAGCCCAATTAAGCAAAATTTGGGCTAACTTATTGTTATATGCAAAAGTGAAAACCATCTTATTTCAAAATGGGCCAGTTCACTTTTTGACTATTTTTTCTTTTGTTAGATGGTAAAAAAAATATATTTCTATGTGTATGTGTTAGTAGACTTAATAATCAAACATAATGAAACTTTATTTTCATATTTTAAATTTCAAAATAAGAGAACAGTATCACCATTATCGATTTATTGATAGACATTATATCTAAAACAAAAAAACATAGAGAGAAACATGAACTGTAAATAAGCATAAATTCTTAATACAAATCCTCAGGTAGCTCCATTATCATTGTTGTTATTATTGTTGTCGATGTCCTTGTTGTGCTTGTCCCCCATAGGCATAATCATCCTCTCAAATCCTAATTCCATGAGCCATGAATGATTCTTCAAGGAATTCTGAAGGTTGTCTCCATCATTTAAGTCAATACCTGATGTCTTTGTTTGTCCATTCTCAAATTTTTGATCAGTTGTAATATGTTTATCAATCATTTTATCGATATCATTTGAGAAATATTTAATCTTACAATCAAGATCTTTTAAATCTTTTGCTGTTAAGTTTGTCAAAGGCTTACCATTCAAGCTTTCGCTCATGAATTGTGTAATTTCCTTATCACGATTGTCCTTACGTAGTTTATTGAGTTGATCATTGGCTTTTTTGATAGACTGCCTAAGGTATGTCCCTTGGTTCAACATCTTCTTGTTCTGATCTCTCTTTGACATTGCGCTGAAATCATTGATTACACTTTGGACTCCTAAAGGAGAAGGCCAAATTTCAGGTTGAGTGTTGTAAGGACTGTAGATCATTACACATAGGTTAATCCCACATAACGTCGCTAATTCACTGGCTTTTTTCATTAATCCCTTCTTCCTTTTCTGGAATGTTATCTTTCTGGATGACTCATCAGAAATGAGATCAAGCTTCACCTTCCTTCCCTTCATAATTTGAAGAGAAAATAAAAGATTTTGAATAGAATTGAAAGATTTTGTTTGTTTGTGTTAAACAACCTAATACTGTACATACATATTTATAGTTTTGAAATGACATCTAATTATTAATTTCAAGATTTTTTTGAGAATCTACATATATGTTTGATATATCTACTAATATTTTTGCAAAAATTCCTGATATAAAAGTTTTTAGAGATGGTGTCAACCTTGGTGCTTAACGAGCAAAATGCGTAAGTTTTTAATGTAGGATTATGAAAAAATCTGAAGATAAAAATTATATATGTAAACAATAATTAAGAATCCAAAATTAAGATTTGATTATTTATGTAAGTTATTCTTTAATGAGATATTGAGCAGATTCTACATACAACGATGAAAATATAAAAATAATAATAAATCAGATTTGGATTGGCTCCGTGCTCTCTATCTCAACCTAATCCTAAAATAAAAATTTTTACCATCATCCTTAATTACCTAAATACGTGAACTAAAGTTTCATATTAACTATTAAATTTTTATTTTTTATTTTTAGTATATTTAAACAGAATTGCATAATAATTTTTGTTCACCACTAGTAAAATACGACAAAGTTTTTTTTTTTTAAAAAATTGTTATAACCAAGGTTCTAATTTTTCTTACATTAGTTTATTCTTATTAAAAAAAAAACCTAACAAATGTTAAAAAAAATCTTATAAATCTTTACATACTAATATTAAAAAAAAGTCTTTCTTTTGTACTTGTTTTGACCTAATTTATGTTTTTTCTTACATTGTCAAAACAAAAGTAGGAATAAAGGGAGAGACAGAACGTCAGATGAAAGGAAAGAAGAACTAACTCTCTTATGTTGATGTACATTTTTATTAATATATATATATATATCTTAAAATGATAATAAATTTTCTCCAAGTTATACCACTTAATTATTTGGAAAATGATATTTTAGAAAAAATTATTTAAAAATAATTATAATTTCAAACATTATTAAATTAAAAATTATTAAAAAATATTAGTTAAATGCAATTAAAAATATATAATACATAATTTTTCAAAATAACATTTGCATTCTTAATGCTAAAGTTTGACACTTTCAGATGCATTTTGTCAATATTGTAATAGAAATATAAAATAAAAATTTGGGTCTGACTGATTTTTCTTCTCTCAAATGGAAAAAAAAAAATATTTATGTGTGTGTGTATTGGGAGACTTAATAACTAAACACAATGAAATTTTACTTATATATTTTAAGTTTTAAAAATAAGAGAATTTTATTACCATAATCGATTTATTGGTGAACATTACATATAAAACACATACACGTAGAGAGACATATGAATTGCAAAGACATATAAGCCCTCAGTGTAAAGACTCAGAATTTAAATGAAAATAAAGTTATAAATTAAATGAGAAAGTGAAATAATAGAATTAGAGTTTATATTCCTTACACAATAATTTAGAATGCCTAATAGGACTATGAGAATATTCTTTCTAAAAGAACAAACGAAAAGAGGACTTTCACTAACTTTTAAAGGGAGTCCGGGTGGTGAACTATTTATAACTCTCTTGTTGATCTAGATCTAGATCTTGGTACTCTTGATATGAAATAATTAATGAAAGAGTAAGCTACACTGACCCAGTAAGAATATCACACTAATAACAGATACAGAAAACTGAAGATTGGTAAAAATAAAAAAAAAATAACTAATGGAGCCCTTAATTTAATGTAAATTCATTTACTATAAAGAAAGCTTTTTACTCCATATTTACGTAATAAGTTTTTTCAAAAATAATTTGTGAAAACCCATATCTATACACTTTTTATTTTCATATATAAGATAACAAAAGACGATCATTTTTCATTTTTACCCGCTTACCTATACTCCTGTGGGTCCATAGGGATGTCTCCTACTCGTGAACCCAATATCCAATTTAACAATTAACCGACCGTCCCCATACCCCGTCCGGTAATGGGTGCCAAATATTCTACCACTTCGATACCTCATCCGGTATGAGGGTGGACCATATCTCCCAAATCTTAACAGGTAAGGGACTTTCCAACTCCGTCCGACTGAGGTAGTGTTCACGGTAGGGTTCCCTATGTACCGAGTCCGTCTGCCCTTTCTCAAGTACCCAATAAGTCTTTCCCATACAGATTTCCATCAGCATAACAATCAATCACACAACACCAATAGTTCATTTCATACTCACAGTTTACTTAAATAACAATATAGTTTAACATAGCCAAATAACTAATAACCGGAATACTGACAAACAAAACAGTAAAAATAAATAACCAAATAACCAAAAGGACCCTAAAAATTATCAATTCAGTTATACACAGTATAATAGTAAGCAAATATAGGCAATACAGGAAAATAAATAAAAAATCGACACGATTGTGAACTAACCGGTTTCGCCTCCACTAGTGACATGTAATTATTTTTAGCATTCTCTAATTTTTCATAAAAACACACAATTATCAATCATCAAACCTTAATTTGTTGTAACGGAGAAAAGGATGAGGGATCCTTACCCAGGTCGGTGTTTTGGGATGCCACGTTATTTACTATGCTTCCTAACGAGTACTGGATTTCCTGAGTTTTTCATGCGGAACCCAAAGCACTTGTCACGTACTTAAAAATACCATATAAATCCAAAATTGGTGTCCAAAACTCATTCTGGCCAATTTTGGGGTTCTGACACAGCAGTGCCGTCGTGCTCTAGCGCCGGCTCGGCCACCCATGACGGTGGTTCGCCTCGACCTAGCTGGTTTTGGCCAGTTTTTAGGTAATTTTGACCGTATCCTTGCAAAAAAATACATTAGGGGTCTCGGTTGGCTGAAAAATCACAAAAAATTGAACCTACTGGCAAGGGAACCTTCGGGTGTGGCGGGTTGTAACGGCCCCGGAAATTAAAAGAAAATGTATATATTTATTCTAAGTGCGGAAGTGAAATAAAATAGATTATGATTAACATCCCTTACACAATAACCAAAACAAATTAAACGTATGAAAGAATAAACTAACTAAAGGAAATACTATGAATGAATACTATAAGGAAAACTAATAAATTCTTTGGCTTCTACTCGTCGTCTTCCTGTAAAACGGGCTCGGGAACCAAGTCCTCCTGATATGAAATGGTTAAGTAAGGAATGAGCTACACTAGCCCAATAAAGACATCACACTATCTTACTGTTACAGAAGTAAAAGTTGGTAGAAAACAAAAACGACCAATGGAGCATAGTTTATAACAAACTCATTTATTAATAATAAAAACCTTTACTGTCCACTTACCTCAGTGAGATTCATGAAAACAACTTATAAGAAACAATAACATCATAAATATCATAAGATCATGCACACTCTGTAACATAACACATATCATACTTTTGTATTTCAATCATCAGGCAACAAATTTCCTCTTTTATCATCCTACTAGTATCCATGGGGATCCATAGGGGGTCTCCGCTACACGTGAACCATTCACATTAATAACTTAATTCCAGGGCCGTCCCCATACTCCGTCCGGTATGGGCGCCAAAACCATAAACCTCAATACCCCGTCCGGTATGAGGGTGAAATAGGTCGTCCCCATACCCCGTCCGGTATGGGCACCAAAACACATAAAGTCTCCATACCCCTCTGATATGAGAGACCACGTTCCCGGTAGGGTTCCCTATGGACCCGGTCCGTCCACCATCTCCCAGGATATCTAGTCAGGCTGTCGATATTATCTATTTATCAATTCACATACCTTTTTCTATATTTTTTTAATCTCAATTATCCCATCAAACATAAATACATAAACTAGTAATGGACACAAAACAAGGCAACACAACATCGGGTTTACAATGATTCAAACCATAATAAATGAAACTGTGATTCATGTATACGAACTATAGAATAACACATCAGGACCACACTGCATTCAAATTGTAAAATAAATCAACACACCTGACCGAAAAATACATCAGATTCGGGCTCCATTA